TCCTCACCAGTGTCCTCCTCCGTGTAACTCTTGAAACAAACTTTCATTGGTGTAACTGATAAGGTTACTTCTTCTTGACTGGTGGGGAAGTGAATCATGATATCAGCCAGCAGCCTGTAAAATGACATTCACCATTAAAACACCTGCCACAGAATCCCAGCCAGCATTTGTTACTCATGTTAGAAATTAAAACAGTTCCTGGGCAGTACTGGTTGCAAAAGTGCCTTTGAAATGTGCACCCCCTACAGCGTGTGTATCTTTTTAACTGATTGATGTAGCAATAGGTACAGAAGACATCTAAGAATACAGCCAGTTGTCACAAAAGCAAATCTGTTTGTATTTGATGCCTGTGTATGCTGCCAGGTCAGTTTCACATATATATATTTATTGCTGCTACCTTTCCATATGTATATATCAGAGTTTCGAGCAAACCTCAGTGATCTATATTCTTCATTCAAAAGCTTGCAGGTTTTACAGTTGCAGTTGCATAATCTTTTTATAAACACAACACAGTATCTATAGAGATCTTTATACACCTTTAATGGCTGATTCTTGTGACAAGAAACACTGTCAGAAACAGTGTCATAGAAATGTCAGGGAAAGTACAGTCGGACTGTTCTTTGCTTACACTGATAAGCAGAACTTTGCCTTATTGCACTGAAGAAATGGTACTTTTACCACTGGATTCTTTATCTGTAACATTCCAGCACTGCTTTAGTTGTCATAGATGGCAGTTGCTTAAAGGTGTGAATTCAAAGTAGACATTACACACTTCCCAAGGTTAAACTGAGTGGGATTAATGGCAGAATGAGCCAAGTTTCTTAAGCTGCAGTATGAAAAATCAAGCACCAAGATTCAGGATTTAGGAATTTGCCATTTTTGACTGTGCCCTAATGAGATTTTGACTCTGTCAATGATTATGACACCAGTATTGCCTCCTGTAGAAGTCTTTTTTTTTCTTTCCCAGAAAAAATACTTTTGTATTCATTACCTGGAGTGGACTTTAAGTATGTTGGGGCACATGTGCTTTGCAAAAACAGCCTGCAACGGATGACATTCTTGAAACGTCAGGTTGTATGTTTTTACAACACCTGAGTATAAAGGATATGAACAAAAATCACTGCTGGTCTGTCATTTGAACTGGCTTATTCAGTATTAATTGTGCTTTTAGGAAATCTCAATAGAGAAAGTAACTAAACTTACTCTAGCTGTGTGGAAGTAACTCACTACCAAATAGAAAACTGAATTAATCTGCCATCAAAGACTTCCTTCATCCCATTAGTTATGTCCTGCCAGCATCTGAGTTTAAGAATTCATAAGAAATAAGTGAAGTGCAACAAATGCAGGGTGGGTGGAAATGCTTCAGTGTTTAACTGGTTTAATATAAATGGGGGTAGAATCAGATCTCTCTTACTGCTAGATAAGCATGAGCTAAGGGAGCTTAATGGTCTAATTCTATGTATTCTCTCATTATTAGTAATACAAGCTAGGTTGTTAATGATGTAAACCACTGCCTGTCACGCAGTGGTATCACAAGCTAACACAACAACAAGCTGTGCTGATGGTTCTTTATGCGCTCTGCAAAGACTACTGCTGAGGAATATACCTGGTGTTTTGCTGGACTGAAGATGTCAGACCTGTTACCATGCTGAGTAACTGTGTTAGGAGGGGAAAGACCCAGTAAATCCTCTGCCAAACCAGGATTTCCCTCCCTTTCCATAATGTCTGTTTTTAAGAATTTACTCCAGCTTCATTCTAAATGTTGTAGGCAGTTGGCTGGCAATTAATATACAGCATCCATTAACTACTGAACTGGAGATAGCTTGTCTGATAAAGCCTGGTTTAACTTCATTTTAATAAGGTGATGCAGATGATAAATATAAATAATGATGTGAAGAGGCTGAAAGTGTTTGGCATAATGTTCCATCAAGAACATTCAGCTACTAATTACACTCAATATTGTGCTGCCCTGCTGTTTTAAACTGCTGCTGCTCCTGGGAAGATGGGTAACCTACCATGTTTGCAGAGGAGCTGAAAAGTTATGTGATGATCATTAACATTTGTATAAATGCTGCATTTCTCTACATTCCTTTCCAGCACATTTACACATCTAAATACAGGAAGAACTGACTGTAAAACAAACAAACAAATTAGTGCGGAGGTTACTAAGCAGTTTTGCAGTATATTTTCCCTAGTTTTGTATGGTTTATCTCAAGTTCTTGTTTTCACTGCTTCCCCAAACTGCTTTGTAAGCAGATACTGATCCTTGCCATCATCACCCACTATTCCAATACATGGGCAACAAGAGCTGTCTGCTAAAGAATTGGTCAAAGCTCTCCTGGCTCATACTGGTTGTGAAGGCTTCAGGAGAAACACTCCAGAGGCAGAAACGTGGTATTCCTTTATCCTGAGATTAAGCTGGCTCAGGCTTTGGGAACTGCAGGGCACAGTTTAAAAGGTACAACTTCCAAACGTAATTAAATACTAACCCTCTATTTTGCAGAGCTGCCCAGAAGTGGTTTAGTTTAGAGCCATCCACATGGCTCTAAGTGGAGAGCCTCCCCCTATCATTTCACTGGGAAATTGGGCTAATTTGCTGCTTATAAAGCTGTGCATAATCCATTCAAATGTACCTTGATTATCAATTTACAGGGGGGAGACAACTGCTTTTCCTTCTGATGTGGCTGAGGCAGGGCAGTCCAGCAGTAATGTTGAAAAAACATAGATGAGAAGAACACACATGCATATGCTGACCTTGAAGAATTCACTGATCTTAAGGCAAGCTGAAAATGGAAGTAAAATGATTTATTAATTAATATTTATTAACTCAAAACTATTTATACCAAACCTGTAACAAAAAAATGCTTCAGTGCCATTTGGGACCCACAGAACTTTTTAAATCTCACTAGCTCAAAATAAATACAGATGCATTATGGATACAGCCATGGTCAAACTCATCACCTATATTATTACTGGGATAATACAGGCAGAGGAATCCAGTCTATGGGCATTTAAGTGGCCCTGACCTTTGATGAGTTACCAAAACACTCGGGGCTCAGTTGGAGGCATTTGAAGGCCAAGTTTATTCCAGAACAATCTTCCTGTTCACTCATCCACACAGCACATACAAATGAACACAGACACCAGCCAGTAGCACCCCAAAAACTCTTTAGGTATAAAAGGGAATTATCTCCACTTCTGATTTCCCACGCTCCCAGCAAATTAAGGAGAGTTGATCACTTTTAACTAAGAAACCTCTAGAGAAAACCCTAATTTGGCTGGAAATGGAGTTTGATTAATCAGAGGCGTATTAATGGATGCACCCTTCCTGTTGAGTCAAAACCATGTTGTTTAGAGGCAGCTCCTGATAGGGTACAAAACATAAACCTTTTGACCCGTGGTATTAATCCAGATGTCCTGGACAAGCTCAGGCTTCGGTAACAAAGAATCAAATAGTAGGGGCAGAGCAGGAATTAATCTTCCATGATGTAATCTCATAATTACAATTACAGAGAACATGGCATTTGTCCGCACTGCAGGTGGAGGGACCCAGGCAGAAGGGTACCTGTAGGAAAACACCACATCACCCAACAAGGTAAATACTGTGCTTCCAAGGGAGATTTCTAAATCACCATAAATCAAATGCACTTACACCTTTCTCTAAGGGGTCGAACCAAAACTCATCACTGATACGTGCTATGGCATGAATCGCTCTTCCAAACACTGGCAGGAAAAGAAAACAATGCATTATGCGTTCTAAGTGAAAAAACAAAGTTATACCTCATCTTCTCCAGCCTAATTTAAGAGGAAACATTACAAATGTTTTATGCATTCCAAAGAAAACCAGTGGCAGGGTGGAAAACACTACTCTTTCCTCTCCTTTTCCAGCACAAACACCTTGACGCCCGCTCAGCCGCACGGCCCTGGGGCAGCCCCGCTCTGGGGCGCCCGTTTCCCCCACAGAACCCCCACAGAACCCCCTCAGACCGGAGC